AAATCTTCACACCACGAACGGGGGTTCTGCGATCCCGATCTTGGATCGCACCGATCTTGATTTGTCTTCGAGATCGGGGTCTTTGCTGTGCGGAAATCTTCACTCAGCAAATAAAAGTCCTGCGTCGATCTTGCCTTGGGATCGGTCCGATCTGGTCTTGGGATCGGCCGATCTTGCCGGAAGTGCGCAATTTGGGTAGATCGGTGTCTTGTTTCGCCAAAATGAAACGTGCCGATCTGTCAGGGGATCGCTTCGATCCTGCTCGGTCTTGTCTTGAACGCCTTGTCCAGATCTTCTGACCACTTGAGCCGTCTCGCGATCCTGTGTCCAAAATCCTTTTCCTTTTCCGTTGTGTGCTGCTACCCTAGCAGTTGAGTTGAGTGTGAGTACTTGATCGATCCGGGCCAGATATCCCGGGATCGCTCTTCTCGATCTTGGCCAACAATCCAAGATCGGTCTTCTGTGTCCCTGTAACACGCGTGCCTTAACCCGCCGGGGAAGCCAAATCAATCTTGCCTGGAGAAGAGGGGAGGATAACGTGCGTCGTGAGCAGAAGAAGTAGAGTTCAAGTCTGTTTATTAACCAACCAAATTACTATCCAACCTACCCTTAAGCCTATTCTTAACTATAGGTCACTCTTCAAACCGATATCGCCTTGAATCTGGATCGCCCCCTTGCCACGTGTCGAAATTTCGTGCCCTGTACTCCAATGATAGCGCCAATATTCCCGATACCGTACCTGAACGCCAAAAGAGGACCAAATCCCAAATGGGGTACCAAATACCCATTTTTGGTACCCAAAAGCCCAAAATAGTGCCCAAATGCCGAAGGCGTCTAAATCCATTTTGCGACGTCAATTTAACCGGCTTCCACTGGCTCTTTCGATCTGAACTTTTGAGACATCACTCATGGACCTTCAACAAGCATGTTTGTCATGATCCAAAATTCTCATCAACGATACATCCATAATCAGTGGGGATCATGACCGATCTGATGCCCAATTCGAGATTGTTGAGGATCGACACAGTACAATCCGGCCATATATGTTCTTCCGTTCATTGTGTGCACTCCGATGCTTTATCAAAATGATTCTGCTTCAACATCCACATCCTTGCCTCTGATCAGCCTTCAGAGTGGTCGTTCGGTTCAATCCAGTCCCTCGTCCCAGATCGCACCGTTGGAATCACCCCTTGCTACCCGCACCGTCTCGCAAACCACATCGCCTGGTCCCGTGGTCCCAGGGCGTACTTTTCTCAAATGATTCTGCTTCAACATCCACATCCTTTCCTTTGATCAGCCTATAGAGTGGTCGTTCGGTTCAATCCAGTCCCTCGTCCCAGATCGCACCGTTGGAATCACCCCTTGCTACGCCCCGTCTCAAACCACATCGCATCGCCTGGTCCCAGGCGTACTTTTCTCAAATGATTCTGCTTCAACATCCACATCCTTTCCTTTGATCAGCCTATAGAGTGGTCGTTCGGTTCAATCCAGTCCCTCGTCCCAGATCGCACCGTTGGAATCACCCCTTTCTACGCCCCGTCTCAAATCACGTTGCATCGCCTGGTCTTAGGCGTACCTCTTCCGCCAGTGGGTGACATCTTAACTGGGTGGACACCGATCCACGTCCCATCATTTGATTAGTGACTTTACCACAGTTACACCTTCGTCGCAGAGTCATATCCCATCACCCGGTCCCAGATCCTTGTCCCAGATTGTTCCATGTAAATCGTTCCAGATCGCTCCGTCCCAGGTCGATCCATACCCATTAGTCTAACGACAGTTGGATCGGTTCGCCGATCCCGTTAAGATCATCTTCCACCTCCGTATTGGATCGCCGAGTCTCATGGCCTCCTTTTCCACCAGTAAGCGGCGCTTTAAAGATGTGGCCACCGATCCTCGTACAAAATTTGAGTAGTGACTTTGCCACAACCGCCCCCTGTACTGAAGTCTTTTGTACAGCAATCGACCTCAGTACAGTCACTCATCAACTTCGTTCCAAGCACTCAAGTCCGTCTCATGGTCTCTCCGACGCATCCACCCACCTCGCCGATCTCTTCAAAAGGATCCACCATGTTTCTGTCTCCGGATCGCGACCTGTCGCCCGGATCGCCCGATCTCGGAGGACACACCCAGCGGTCCCCGATCGGCCTGGGTCTCCGCGCCATCTAGATCATCCCGGATCGCAGATCCCTCGTCTGCAGGACAAGTACAAACCTGCTCCATCGTCTTAGTACAAGGTCGATATCCAAGCCCGATCGTCTTTCATAATCGTGTAAGTCATTCAATCATCTTCTTTTTGGTACTTCAATTCTTTGCAGCTTCCACGATCTCGATCCTCATCGCTCCACATCATTCAGGAAGGTAATTCACTTGACTATCTCCATACTCACATACAAAAACCTCATCCACCAGCATGTGCTACCGTCTAGCACATCTTTCAACCCCTACATCCGCATATGCTACCTCCCGCATACTTGTTCGAACTGTTAAGGTTCGTCCGACTTGCCTTCATGAGACTGCATTACGTCGAAACGGTTTCGACTCACTCGGTTCCGCTCAAACTCTTGCAAGATCGCCCCACAACTTAGATCGGCCTCGTCCACCCAACTTAGATCGGGATATCCCTTCCACTTCACCAGAAACTGCCGGTGTACTCGCCCATAACGGGTTTTTCTACCAGATCGCACGTCCAATATTGCCTCTACTTCGTATTCCCCTTCTTCAAGATCGCCAGCCCAACTGTCTTCTGGCAGCAGAGCTTCATCAAAATCCAAGCGATCTGATTCCTCTATCGTAAGCTGATCCTTCGGGCGTTCAGGGAACGTCTTTACCTTTTTTAGCTTCGATATATGTACAATCGGAAATAACCGATATGGGGTTCCAGCGATCTCCAATTTTACAGCATGATCTCCACATACGTCCGCAACTCGGAATGGCCCATGCCACATGTGCGCTAGCTTCTTCGCATATCCCTCTTTAACTCGGTCCAGGTATAGCCAAACTTGCGCTCCTACTTCGATCTCGTGTGGTTCCAGATCTTCGTTGTGTCGATCCGCTCGCTCCTGGATCGCGGCTTGTAAACGATCGTTCACTGCAGATCGGGCTCGCTGGTATTGTCTTTGGATTTTGTATCTCCACCTCTTTGGATCGCGATCTCGTGTCCCCGTATTCCCCACTGGTAGCGTAGCCTCCAAAGTCGATCGCGGGTCCCACCCATGAATCAGATAAAACGGGGTATCCCCCGGATCCGATCTTGTGCAGTGTTAATGGCAAATGTGAGCCGCTCAGCATACTCATCCCAGTCTCGCTGGTCAACTTCAGCCACGTACATCTTGAGCGAATGTGTCAGGGTTTGCACCATTCGTTCGGCTGTTCCATTTGCTTGTGGCCTGTAAGCCATAGTAGCACGCTGTTTTTGTCCTACGATCCGACTGAAGGCTCGAAAGAAGTCGGACATAAATCCCGGTTCTCGATCGTGCCTGATAGCCTCGCTAGCTCCGAAGCGTCGAAACACACATTCTTCGTAATTCTCCGCTATTGTTTGTGCCGTCCGAGAGGAGCTAGCCTTTGCAATCACATATCCCGAGAAAAGGTCGACCCAAATGAGCAGTTCGGTGTTCCCCTTGATGGACTTGGGCAACGACGGTATATGATCCATGGCGATGATCTGGAATGGATAGGTTGCGTGTAGATTGCCCGGGGATTTCCCATGAATCATCGGGTTTCCTTTCCCGGTCTCACAGTCGGTACATTCGCCCACATATCGTTGAACGCTCCGATACAGTCCTCTCCAATGAAATCGCGATCTGATCCTCTGATAGGTTCGGCCAATACCCTGATGGCCTCCTTCCAGACTCGTGTGATAGTGATGCAAAAAATCCTGCTGCAACGTCTCAGGGATCACCAACCGCATCAAACCATCGCGATCTTCCGACTCTCTTTTCGCCATGGGGCAAAAAAATAGCAGATTGTTCTCATCGATCTCGTATTCCGGCGCCAGTTTGGCGCACATCTTCACTTCTACCGCATCCAAGTTTGATACATCGCCACTTAGATATGTCTTGAGATTGACAATCCAACGCTCTTCATCTTGAGCTTGGACAATTCGTTGAATCCTGATCCTCTGTACTATCTCCTCCTGTATCACTTCAGGTTCATGACGTATCCTCCTGGCTGATCTCGCGATCGCAGTTACCCGAGCTAGCTGACCATCTTGCTTGGGCTTCAACAATTCATCGAGACGGTTCAGAGTCATCAGATCTTGCCGATCCTCTTCAGCTACAACCGTTCTTCCCTTTTCGCTCTGCAATGCTGTGCTGGCTAGTCGATCTGCGCTCTGATTCCACTCTCGCTTCATATGCAGAAACTCGTGACTAGGCCATGACTGCAGCTTCTCCAACGCTTTGTGTCTCAGAAGCTGAAGGCCCGGTGCCTTGCAGTCGATCTCACCGCGCATCTGTCGAATCACCAGACTGGAATCTCCACACAGTATTACTCGCCCCCCTATCCAGATCGGCGAGTAACTCAAAGCACAGTAGCAAGCCATTATACTCAGCTTCATTCACAGTCAGATCGTGAACATATCTCGATTCGGCCGCCACGATCGTCCATTCGGGTAACTTCCATATCACGGCACTGAACGACCCTCCTTTCTTTTTATCCTAGCCGATCCATCGAAACTGGCCACCAGCAACTCCTCATCTGTTTCCACCGTTGGAGGAGGCATCGATATTTTGAGTCGACAGTCTTTTCGTGGGGAGATCGCAATCAGCATCTCTTCCACCTCTCCTCTCGGAGTGATACTCGCTGCTAACATGCCCAGGATCTCTTCCTCTCCTCTTTCACATTTCTTCACCTCCATAGTCCAATTTGACAACAAAGCAGCCCACCGTCCTAATCTCCCGTTGAGCCCTCGAGACTGCATCAACCAGGCTAACGTAGAATGTCGGGTCAGTACAGTGATCTCCCGCGAGGCAAGCGTAGTATAGCATACATCCAACACACGAAGTAGCGCCAGCACTTCTTTTCTACCATTCCGTAGTTAAGCTCATTAGGCTTTAAAGTGCGGCTAGTAAACGTCACCGGATGGTACACGCCATCGTACTCCTGTATCAGGGCCGCTGAGACAGCCCACTTGCTAGCGTAGACCACGATTACGGGGGACCGATCTGGGTCGAAATGCTTGAGCATGGGAGCTGTAGCTATCTTAGCTTTTAGCATAGTGAAAGCAACCTTGGCTTCCGTCCATCGACCCTCGTTGGAGCATTCGTCTCCTGCTGCAAGCTGAGATCGGCCGATCTCGAAGAAATCCGATTCTCTTAACTCATACAACACCGCGGCATACACCGCGAAATCCTCAATGAAGCGACGGTAGTAGTTCAAGCTCCCGAGAAAGGATTGCATAGCTCGTAGCGTGCTAGGAAACGGGATGTTAACCAACGACTCTAGGTTCTTGGGCTGAGCCTCCAGACCATCCATCGACACTCGATGTCCCAAATAATCGACCTTACGGCACCCCCAAAAGCTCTTCGTGAGGCTGATAGACAGATTCCACTTATCACATGCCTCCAGCAACCGTTCTACTTTTGTGTACAAAGATCCCCATGACGTGGCTGGTATGAGAATATCGTCAATGTAAGATCGGCGTCCCAGTATAGACGGTCGTCGATCTGTCTCAGGTTCTCCATCTTTGAACACGTCGATCGGGCCATCAGAAGCTGATATTTGGCCGATCTTGAGATATCCATACAACGCATTGTCCACCAGACGTTGGTAGATCTGGGGCGCGTTCTTAAGCCCAAAAGGCATTCGCAGCCACTCGAACAAGCCAAACGGTGTGACAAACGCTGAGATCAGTTTTGCTCGTTCGGTCATTTCGACGACCCAAAATCCACTAGCCATGTCTAGCGAACAGTACCATAGAGCTTTATCCAGATCTTCCAACAGATCGCTGATCAACGGCATGGGATAAACCATCAGACGCGTCAGCTGGTTCACTCTTCGATAATCAATGCAAAGGCGAATATCCACTCCGTTCTTCTTGATGATCACCACTATCGGAGACGCCCAAGGTGACGTGGATGGCTGAACGATTTTGGCTGCTAATAGTCCTTTGATGAGATCTGACAGCTTCTCCCGATATTTGGGTGCGACCGGACGCACTCTTTGCGCTATCGGTGCTGCCCCACCGACATCAATATCACAGATCGCGCCTCGTGCTGCTGGTGGTAGAGCATTACCTTTACCCATGAGGAGGTGACGGCTCTTCCAGATCAGCGATCTGAGCCGTTGTTGATCTGTGGTGAGAGGCACATCGGGATCACCGATCTGAATGTCCTCAATCGTAACTTCTTCCGTAGTCGCCGACATCTCTGGTAGCACGGCCATATGCTGCTCGATATCTTCCGCAAACAAATCTCCGCTCTCGTGGTGATAAACTGGTATTTCTGCAATCTCGACGTCTTCAGTATTTAGCATTATTTCTTCTTTAGGCTCCTTCGTCTCTTCCGGCTGGCCCAATTTCAACAGTCGGTCAGTCGGCTCAGCCTTCGGTAGAGACGATCTGTCACGTAGCCCTTCTTGACCGGTGTCGCGGTCTCCCTTCGTTGCATGTTGGGTACCGATCTCATGACCGTTCTCCATCCGCGATAGTTCGGCTCCCCTGACCGTTACTTCCCTCGCAACTACAGCATCTGCCTTTTGCGAATCGTCATCGTTAGCTTGCGGCGTTACCGTGGAGATCGCCGGAGACAGGTTCTGTAACGCATCAGACGGACGTTTCAAGATGCGTTTGGGAGCGGCATACGTAGGACGATCTACCAATGGTCCGATCGGTTCTTTCGGGAGTTCGTTCACTCGATCCGTTGTAGCCTCATATGCCAGAGTTTGCCATTCCTTGTACTTCCCCGACCCGACTGTCACCAAACCTTGGGTTCGCGGTACCATATCGCCTTCGACCCACATGCCTAATATAGTGTGGGTGGGCAGTATGATCTCCCGGTCGCCAATGTTGGTCATCTGCAGGTATTTCGTCTTACCCCACCCCGAGATCACAGTGGGGACCCAATCTAGTCCTCTAGCGACCCACAACTTCATCTTAGCCCCTCCGATCCCGATCTTCACTTCCCTTGACTCTCCGACCGGGATCACCACGTGTTGGTCCTTCGCCGTTATATGTTGTATCTTCGATCCGTACGCGGGGCGACGTCCTGCGAGATGAATGCGGATTTCTTCTGGTAGACATAGCGCGCCATCCGCTAGATCGAGCCGCACTCCAGCAGGCACCATAAAATCCATACCCAGAATCGCTTCTTGCCCTGCCAGATCGCCTACCCATACATTGAAATAGTATACCAGCGATCCCGCGAGGGTCATCTTGATCTTGGTACGTCCTACCGTCATGTGCGGAGTTTCTCCAATCCCGATACATTCTTGTCGTTGACTTTCGTCAATATTGCAACCGACCTCACGAGCAAAGGTGGTGTCAATGATCGACACTTCAGCACCAGAATCAAATAACAGAGTAGCTTTTACGTTGTTGATCTTGCCAACGGCTTTCGCTTGTTTGAACCACTTCCCGGGTGAATAATGTTTCCAGTATCTGCGAGATTCACCATAAGCGAGCTCGATCTCCATAGCTGGTTCAGATCGTGAGTACTCATCGATCCGCTTCAGATGGGACACGGAAGCGACACGTTTTATCTTCGAACGAGATATATTTGTTTCCACGTCAATATCCTGCTTACTCTCGCGATCTGTCTTCTTTTTTTCCACGTATGCAATAATGCAGAGCCCAGAACGCTCGGCTCGTACCAGATTCAAACCTGGCGAGCGTCCTAGTTTAACATCTTCTCGGCCTTCTCTGGTAGCATCCCCGCATGCTTATTCGGGACGTACCACTGACGGATCATGTTGTAGAACTCCTCCATGGGACACTTCCCCGGGTCGTGCATCTCACCGCAAGCACGACACACGAAAAAACAATTGTCAGAGGGGTGTCCTTTACGCCCACACTTCTGGCAAGTGAGCCGCTTCCAACAACCGAGATCTCCATGCTTGGTCGATCCGCAATGAGTACACGGCTTCAATGGCATATTGCGATCTTGATAGTCTTGACGAGTGTTCGGGTCGACCGATCTCGCGTTTGCTGCAACGTCATTGGGGGATGAACGGCGATCCGCAGTAGCAGCCACATGGATCGATCTCAATCGATCTTCCAAATCCGATCCGCAGGTGTCCGATCCTGACTCGCTGCAGACGTCCTCGGTACGGACCATCCTTACCGCTCGTGCAGGCTTAGACAGCGCTGGACCCTGAGTTCCCTTCTGCCTGAATTTGGACGATCCCATCATCACTTTCCCTTGACGCGATCTCCCTTGTTGATATCCGTGCAGTGTCTTTTGCATGGCCTCCGCGTCTTCTACATTCAGCAGTAGCAATTGATTAAACAGATCGGGGTCGTCCAAGGTGTCAATGAAATGATTGACATGTTCCTTGCGCGCAGCTGGCAATCCAGTCATCACCGGTATCTTCGCCTGCATTCCCATCACATTAAGCCGATACAGGTACTGTAAAGGATCTTCCTCGGATCGTTTCTTTGCATGGTAGTACTGCCTGCTCGCGGACATCCCGTGTCCCGCATACTCCACAAGAAAACTGTTCATCAATTCTTTCCAATTGAATCTCGTCGATCTACTCAGCTGTCGATACCAGTAGCGGGCTGGGCCCACCATGAGATCACCGAAGACCAGACATCTCTCCTCGTCCGGTGCTTGGTCCCGGATAAACGCTGATTTCACTTTGCCGATCCAGGTCCGTGCTTTGTCTTCTTCCCGATCCTTCCCTGAGAATTCTTTCAGCTCAGAAATCGCTGAGATTCTGATCCTCTGCGTGATGCTTCCCCCTCCGGTAGTCGCACCGGTCGCGGCTACATGAGGGTGCCGTGGTTCGGGCACCCATAGATCATCCGGGTCGTATTCCGCCGCCTCATGGATATGTTGGTAAATGTCCGACCCCACCGACTCCATCTCCACATCCGGCATGTCAAGGCTTTCGTGTGAAGGTTGGAGCAAAGTACGTCGATCTGGGTAGCGGTTTGGCTGTCGATTCATTCGCTGAGCTGTACGTTGATCCGGCTCGTACTTCTTCATGGCTGAATTGAAGTACCGACTTAGATCGCCCTCTTCTTGATCCTCCAGCCCAGTGCGGGTACTGGCCGATCTCTGCGGCATGTTGCTCTTGGCTTGTCCCTTATAGGCGTCGATCTTGGCTTGTCCGATCTTGTCCTTTAAGAACCTTCCACCCGATGGTCCTAGAGACATCTGACGAATGCTGATGGATCCATCTGACTCGCTCTCGGAGTCATCCGAGGCGTAGCGGGGCGATCCCGCGGGGTGTTTACAGAGCGAGCCCGAGGGCGTCCCGATCTTGTCTTCAGGAGTATTCGCTTTGCCCACC